AGTCCTGCTTTATATAATTATAGGTAAACAACTGCAATAGGTAATTATAGGTAAACAACTGCAATAGTTAATTATAGGTAAACAACTGCAATAGTTAATTATATAATTATAGGTAAACAACTGCAATAGGTAATTATAGGTAAACAACTGCAATAGTTAATTATAGGTAAACAACTGCAATAGTTAATTATATAATTATAGGTAAACAACTGCAATAGGTAATTATAGGTAAACAACTACGATAACGATGTGTAGACAACGACAAGAGCAACAACAACAACAACAACAACAACAACAATAACAACAACACAAAACAACAACAATAATAACAGCATCAGAAAGAAAGAGAGAGAGAAAGACAGACAGACAGAGAGAGAGAGAGGGAGGGTGTGTGTGTGTGTGTGTGTGTGTGNACACACACACACACACTATCTCTCGCTCTCTCGCTCTCCCTCCTCTCGTCACGCGTTCTCTCTCTCTCTCTCTCTCTCGTACGCTCTGTCTCGCTCGCCCTCTCTCTCTCTCTCACTCTCGCACTCTCTCTCTCTCACTCTTTCTCGCACGCGCGCTCTCTCTCTCACTCTCTCTCACTCTCGCACTCTCTCTCTCTCACTCTCTTTCGCACGCGCGCTCTCTCTCTCTCACTCTCTCTCGCACACGCGCTCTCTCTCTCACTCTCTCTCACTCTCTCTCACTCTCGCACTCTCTCTCTCACTCTCTCTCGCACGCGCGATCTCTCTCTCTCACTCTCTCTCACTCTCGGACTCTCTCTCTCTCTCTCACACTCTCTCTCGCACGCGCGCTCTCTCTCTCACTCTCTCTCGCACACGCGCTCTCTCTCACGCTCGCCCATTCTTTCTCCCCGTACTCTCTATTCTCTCTCTCGCACCTCTCCCTCTCTCTCTCTCATCTCTCTTCTCTCTTCTCTCTCTCGCCACGCTTCTCTCTCGCTCGATCGCTCTCTTTCTCTCTCTCACACGCTCTCTTTCTCACGCAAGCTTTTTCTTTCGCTCACTCTCTCCCGCACGCTCTCCCTTTTTCTCCCCCCTCTCTCTCTCTCTCTCTCTCTCTCTTCTCCTCTCGCACCTCTCTCTCTCTCTCGCTACGCTCTCGTCTCGCTCGCCCTCTCTCTCTCTCTCACACACTCGCACATTCTCTCTCTCTCTCACTCTCTCTCGCACGCGCGTCTCTCTCACTCTTCTCTCGCACGCGCGCTCTCTCTCACGCTCACCCATTCTCTTTCCCCGTCTCTCTAACTCTGCTCCCTCTCTCTTTCTTTCTCTCGCACGCTCTCTCTCTCTCTCTCTCTCTCTCTCTCTCTCTCTCTCTGTCTCTCTCTCCCTCTCTCTAATCGCGGCCTCTCATCTCTTCACACACACACTTCTCTCTCGCTCTCCTCTCTCTCTTTCTCTCTCTCTCTTCTCCCCTCTCTCTCTCTCTCTTACGCGACTTCTGTCACGTCTTCTTGATGCGCATGCGTGGATGAGCTAATCAGAATTCCTCGCGCATCCACGTTGCGACAAACAAAAACTCCAGTTGACACCTTAATAATATAGTTTCACGACGCTAGCTTTATTCTTGACCACATATCAAATGCCGCTCATAAATATATATATATATATGTGTATAATATATATTATATATATATATATATACGTTATATATATAGTAATATATTTAGTACGTTATTGCTGACATATGGATGAATGGTTACATAGACGCGCATTATGTTAATTATAACCATGTCACGTGACTGCACAATCACTCGCATAAAGAGTTGCTCATTAATACATATATAAACCACGCATACATAAATATACATATAGGCAGGGAGCTAATAATGACAAAATTTGTATTTATTTTAGCTCCTGATATATGCAGTAGCAGCAGCAGCAGCAGTAGCAGCAGCAGCAGCAGCAGTAGCAGCAGCAGCAGCAGTAGCAGCAGCAGCAGCAGCAGTAGCAGCAGCAGCAGCAGTAGCAGCAGCAGTAGCAGCAGTAGCAGCAGCAGCAGCAGTAGCAGCAGCAGCAGCAGCAGCAGCAGCAGCAGCAGCAGTAGCAGCAGCAGTAGCAGCAGCAGCAGCAGTTGCAGCAACAGCAGCAGCAGTAGCAGCAGCAGTAGCAGCAGCAGCAGTAGCAGCAGCAGTAGCAGCAGCAGTAGCAGCAGCAGTAGCTAGCACCAGTAATCATCAGTCTTTATCTGCGGGTTCAACGAGGTTGAGAGAACAGCGGGCGTTCCGTGATGCATGCGTGCGTTCCGTGATGCGCCCATTATTGAAGAAAAATTACTTTATAGACGCTTGGATTACATGATGACGCCCGCAGCCAATCAGCGACGAGTAGACAACACGAGCGCCCCCCTGTGTCAGTATTCTGCACACGCTCTTTCGCCCGCTCCGTGTGGCAACCTGTTTATGAACTAATTGGAATGTGATCGCAACAATTCTGAAGATTTAGAGAACGATTGACACTCGCAAAGTTACAAGAAGGAAGATATTTTTCCTTCAACACATCTAATACTTTACCGTTCCCATGTAGCTTGTACTTTCCCGCGAGGTGGCGCTTCCGGCGTGTGCGACTTTCCCACAAGGGGGCGTTACTCTCGTGCGTGCAGATTGGAACATAATTAGGAACGACGCGGTTTCACGCTCTCTTGCTAAGCAGAATATGATGTTACATTAGAATATGATATTAGATTGTTCTGTCATGCGTTGTTATGAACGCATGATGCGCAGGACATGTTGACAATCTTTCTCATTAACTCACGTAAAAACATAGCGAAGCAGACGATACATGTGATCGTGACGTCAGCCGTGGAACCCCGACATCCGGCTTTCTGACTTCCCGCTTTGAATCCGTCGCTGATGTTTCAAGGCGGTCAAGTTCATTCACTGCCCATGCTGCCCTTCAACTCTTTCTTCTCCACTTCTGACGTCATTTCACGGGTAATTACGTCACGCGCGGTGAGTGTGACGATAGGGGGTACGATCTATCGCGTAACTAGGGACGCGGGCGTGCGGGCGACGCCTACGTCTGTCATCTACACTGCGTGACGCGGCGGCGGCGGCGGCGGCGGCGGCGGGAAGGTTAGCGTAGCGTTAGCTTAGTAGATGAGGTTAACCCCGGGCTATGACTGCCGCATCACTGCTCTCATCATCCCTGCCTCTCTGTTGTGTCGCAGCAGCAGCTTGTCATTTGTCGTTCGCGTCTTTCATCGGCTCTGTTGAAGTGAGAGACAGCGACGCCCTCCTGCGGTGCACTGTGCCGCGAAGCGACGCACGCACGCACGCACGCACGCACGCGGACGTGAAATCTAAGATGACGGATTTCTTGCATCGCTGCGCGCGTTGTCAGCGACATGCTCGTCTGCTTACACGCACCGACGCCGCGCCTGCCCTGCTGCCATGACAACGGCCGGCGACTGACGCGATTACAGGGTCATTGAAATTGAATTTATTCCATTCTGCGGGAGATATTATCCTTGACTCCGATCCGTGACAATAGAATGAGACTTCCATCAGTTCTTATTGTATTTGGAACTCCCTCTCATGCTTACTTTACTACCTCCCCCTCACACTGACTCACACTTCACCTCCTCCCTTTCACACTTACCCATACCTTACCAGCTCGAGCTATCCTCGCCGTCAACGCTGACAGGGTGGATCGTGTCAAAGAACATGGCCGCTTCAAGGAAAGGAGAACAGCATCACTCAAACGTTGAGCCTTGTCCCGTTCCAGACACTGAAGTTATACATTCTTCTTTCTGGCACCTTTTAAAATGTCCTGTGAATCTGCGATGGTAACTGGCTGTAACTGTAACATAAAATGCACCTATTAAAATAAACTACTACAATATAATCAGGAGAGAATAATAATAGATTTGTAGATAATAGATAATGTATTTTTAAGCAAAGATGTAGTAATTAAGCGATTAGACGTACTGTCAAAAAACATAAATCATTTTAATAGTGTAATGGGAATATGTTTTAGTAACATTTGAAACATATTGATCATTGATATTGATATTGAAACATTTGTCGGCCAATTGAAAAACAAATGATATTTATTTTTAGTATACTTACTTCTTTGCGAAATGATTTATTCCATTCACATGCCCGACTAGTTGATGACTTCGACTTTGAATAGCAGGGCCGCTACGTGGCTGCATGTTTTGCCAAGTCTGTCAATGAGAATACGTACATGTAGGCACGAATATTGTTGCATAATACATGTCAACATTATAGATTGTTGGCATTTGTTTAAATTGAAAACATAATTAGTAATCAAGCTTTACAAATATGTATGTAGGTAGGCCTATGCATAAATGGGGTTGGAGTGTCAATAATGGATTTAAATCTTGACATTGATTTTTATACATATGTGCAATTGAAACAATTACTACTTGGTACAATTGAAATTGTCACTTGGGAGGAAGAGACCTATAATATTTTTTTGAAGTTTAAGTAGTTATAGTGATTGATAATAATTAATTGAATTTTCTCAGCGTGGTCAAATCACACTATGATTTGTAGGCAGTGCATATAAGTTATTAGAAATGATCTAAACTATTACAGAAGTATGCATACCCGGCCATGCACATGCAGTGGGCACAATACATAACCCCAGTTGACTTGTACATGTACACCCAGTGTTGGTGAGGTTTGTCTCGCAATCGTTGATATGGCGCGTAACCTTTTCTGTGATGAGGTGGTACAATGCATGTCCACTGATCTACACTGAACAGAAATTGAAATTATTAGTAAATGTACTTTTTTTTTATGTATGTTGGACCAGTTACATATGCACACATTTACAATATTTTAGTCAATAATAAATAATGTTACTAAATTATATACCGTAGAACCATAGAATGAGAAATGTACCATAGAACAAAATTTTTATTACCTGCTGACACTGCTGAAATGCAGTGCTGTATCGATTGTGCATTACTCATAGTCATAACACTGAGCCATGACACTGACACTGTCACTGAGCCACTTTGCATGGTCACAAGTAAAGATTTTGTCAAAATTACGTATGTAAACGATATACTTACCGACAAGCTTGAAACGATTTAAAATGTTTCATCGTTGCACGGGTATATATTCCTGTTTATGGCGCATTACGTTTCTCTTTACGATGCCATCGTATATAAACACGGGTTACAAGCAATGCTTTCTGCCAACTTGAACGCCCCTATACTTACCCACACCTCACCTCCTCCCTATCACACTTACCCACACCTCACCTCCTCCCTATCACACTTACCCACACCTCACCTCCTCCCTATCACACTTACCCACACCTCACCTCCTCCCTATCACACTTACCCACACCTCCCCTCCTTCCTATCACACTTACCCACACCTCACCTCCTCCCTATCACACTTACCCACACCTCACCTCCTCCCTATCACACTTACTCACACCTCACCTCCTCTCTATCACACTTACTCACACCTCACCTCCTTCCTATCACACTTACCCACACCTCACCTCCTCCCTATCACACTTACTCACACTTCACCTCCTCCCTATCACACTTACTCACACCTCACCTCCTCTCTATCACACTTACTCACACCTCACCTCCTCCCTATCACACTTACCCACACCTCACCTCCTCCCTATCACACTTACCCACACCTCACCTCCTCCCTATCACACTTACCCACACCTTCCTATAACTCCCTAGCTT